CCCCCCCCTTCCCTCCTGGCGCCTCCTGCCCGCCAGCAGACCAGTCAGTCAGCATCAGTCGTTCGATCGGTGAGACCCGGAGCGGCCGGTCGAGGCCAGAGCGCGCACCAGCACCAGCATGGAGCCCGAGCCTATGAGGGAGCATCCCGGTGGCCAGCACGGAGGCACCTTGTGGAGCAGAAGAGATGGGCGATGGTATCATCGGCGGACCCGCCTAAACGTCGACGGGACCTCCTCCTTTAAGTGCCACAACCGGAACTGCAACGGAAGGGTCCATGCTGACGCCCAGGGCCGCAACGTCAGGGTGATTACGCCTCACCACCCCACAATATGTAGGGTGGATCATTTTTACCTGACGTTGCGGCAGTACCTCGAAGTCATACACGAGCGTTGCGCGGACGTGCCTCTGCGCATGGTGCACACCATAGTGGGTGACCTCGTTGGAAGGTGAGCACATGCATGTCTTCTCGCCTGTAAAGTGTCTTGCCGCCAAATGGTGTGAACCTGGACAAAAAAGTGTACACCTGATTGTGTCTAGACAGTCCGTTACATCAGATTGTGTGGGATCGTGTCGGTTATTGTTTTAGATTGTTGGGTAAATATGGGGACATTTTTTTCTTTTAAATGGAGCATTCCGGTAAATCTGAAATGCAGTAGAATGCGAGGAACAAGAAAATGGAAATCACTATGTTAAAGCACATCGATTTCTGTTCTCTTCTTCCCCGCATTCTTCTGCATATCAGCCTTACTGGAATGCTTTATTGTGTCATGATTGTGTCCGATTTTCTGTGGTTGTTTCCGATTTTGTGTGATTGATTTCAATTTTGTGCGAATGTTTCCGATTTTGTATGATTTTTTTAGATTGGCGGATAAATATTGCGGCATATTTTCTCTGTCAATTCTAATGTGTACATGGTACACATTACAGAAAGTGTACATGGCATGTGTGCTTTAATTAATGTGTACATGCTATATGCACATTTATAAATGTGTACATGTACACATTTATAGATGTGTACACAGCCATGTACACATCTTTTAAATTGTACATACAACCGTTAGTATACATGCCATGTACACATCTTTTAATGTGTACATGGCTATGTACTCATTTATAAATGTACACGTTAATTAAAGCATAAATGCCATGTACACTTTCTTTAATGTGTACTATGTACACATTTGAGTTGTCAGAGTTGGAGCATTGTGTCAGATTCATCACATAGTTGTGACTTGATTGTGTGCGTTGGTATCGTGATTGTGTGTGGTTGTGAGTGATTGTTTTCGATTGTTTGTGATTGTGTCCAATTGTGTCATGATTGTTTCTGAATGTTTTTTCCGATGAACACATATTGTGTCCAGTTCCTCGCCCCTCGCTCGCCACTGTGAACTCTTTTGTCGCCCAGTGTTCATCTTTGCTCGCTCTCACTCATTGCCCCTCTATTCTTCTGCTCGCTCCGCGCCTTAAGATAGAAATTTAACCGTTTTAAAGCATGATTTTGTTTGGTGGTTTGTCACTTCGCGTACGCGCTCTCCCCACTCCTTGCCCCTTCTTTAGACCCCAAGGGAGATTTCTGGATGTGGAGGCAAAGAATTTCGACCCTGTACTGCCCACTTCCCCAAACTTCCTTATGGAATCTCGAACTTTGCAAAACCGTACTGCTACATTCCCTCTTCCCTTGTCAACAACAACCTCAACGACAAAGCTGTAGGAAAAATTCACACCTTTACCCCTCTAAGTGTAGGAATGGATATTCACACACCTACATGTGAGCGACATTCACACACTTGCGTTTCCAGTGTACTTTTGGGAACTCCATCACTCTCGTCGTGAGATTCCAGTTCAAACGAAGGAATGAATGATGAGGTTTAGAGCAACAAAGCCAACAATACATTTAATTATTAATTATATGGCTATTTCCAAAAGTCCTCATGGTGTCGTGTTTGCGATCAGAACCCCACCATAATTATACTCGTTTGAACCGATATTTTTCAGGAAAGGCGAGGGTGATTACAAAAATAGCTTTTCTTCTAAAGGACAGAAAATAGTTTAAGGAAGTGTGAGACACAGTGGTCTCACAGTATTAAGTGTTAGACCGTCTCACAAGTGAGTTTGCAGAGTACCCGGCCGCCCGCGTATGCATCCTCCCTTGCTCACTCAGACACTTTGCTTGTCGCTGTATGGTTAATTGAATTGATGAAAGCTGTTAAAAA